CCTCATTTCACATAACAAGATTATGTTAAAAATTTAAATAATTGCACAAGAGAGTCATTAACACTCGTTTAAGGACCAAAGTGAGATTTGATAAAAAAAAAATACAGAGGGTTGACCGTTATGATTTCATATAAAATGATTAAAGTAGGATTTGATCAAAAGTGTAAGGGATTAATTGTTATAATTTCATGTGTAGAGACTAAAATATAATTTTATACAAAGTACAAGAGTGCAAAATATAATTTATCCTTTTATTTCCTTGTACTTGAGATATATTGTAACAAAAAACAAAAAAAGCATGAAGGACGTAATTTTAATTGATTGATAATTTGTTCATTATACAAAAATAAAGTGGAAACATTTCAATCTTATTGACAAAAAAGAAATTGATTTTTTTTATTATAATTTTGAAAAAGAAATTGATTGGTCACATTTTTTGAAAATATGAAACCACACGCAATGAATGAAAATTTTGTCATTTCCAAACCACACGCAATCATTTTTTATTTATTTTTTTTGTCATAGTTGGTAAAATCCCATTGTCGGGCCCAATTCGAAGTTGAAATCATATATCAAATCAAACAAATCATATATAAAGAAATTATACAAATCACCTGTCCTTAGTATTGGACCATTCAAGAACTTTAATTTGCACAAATATAGGTTACTTGGAAATTATTAAACAGTTGTGGATACATTATTGACATTATTTATGTAGTGATTTTGAAATATAAAAAATTTAGGTAGAAAATCTAAAAAAAAAAATATTAAGTCAAAATATTACATGAGATGATCTCCCACACACATTAAAATTATTAAAACTCACAAATTAAAATTTCAAAACATTTTTATTCGTAAATAATGACTGACTCAGTTTGATAATGACTTCGTTCAAAAAAAAAAAGTTTAGTAATGACTCAAGCATTGAAAGTAGGGGTGCAACTCGGGCGGGTTCGGTCGGGTTGGGGGTCTACCCAAGCCCGACCCGAATTGTATTTGGCACTGTCCAAGCCCGCCCAAGCCCGACCATGAACCCGAACATTGTTGCCCAAGCCCGGCCCAAGCTTTGTATTTTGAACTCGGGTTGCCCGAATTGCCCGAATTGCCCGAGTTCAGAAACCTGTAGGTAGATCTAAGGGTAGACATAAAAGATCTAATAAGGTAGAAAATCTAAAAAAAAAAATATTAGGTCAAAACATTACATGAGATGATCTCCCACACACATTAAAATTATTAAAACTCACAAATTAAAATTTCAAAACATTTTTATTCGTAAATAATGACTGACTCAGTTTGATAATGACTTCGTTCAAAAAAAAAAAGTTTAGTAATGACTCAAGCATTGAAAGCGACGCAGTTACGCCGACCATTCACATGGTTGGCTGGCCAAATCAAGTAGAAAAGTTTTATATAAATTAATAAATTTTATAAAATTTTGTTGATAATTAATGTAATATATAATAATAAAATTTTAATTTAATAATGACCATGCGTTCAAAGCAACGTGGTTAGCGGACCATTCACATGGTTAGTTGGCCAAATCACGTAGAAAAGTTTATACAAATTAATAAATTTTTTAAAATTTGGTTGATAATTAATGTAATATATAATAATACAATTTTAGTTTAATAATGACCCATGCGTGGAAAGAAACGCGGTTACGCAAGAAAAATTATTGGTTGGTCTTGAAGTGTTACATGGCCATTTTCCACATCAATTATAATTTATCATGTTTTTTTATATTTTTCAATCACCTAATACAAATTTGTAAATCTCATCATCTTCACTAATCGCAACAACATTAAAATATCAAATAACGGTGCCCCAAAATCAACTAATACATTTTCGTTACGCAGACCATTCACCTGGTTAGTTGACCAAACAAGTCAAAAAGTTTTATATAAACTAATAAATTTTATAAAATTTTGTTTATAATTAATGTAATATATAATAATAAAATTTTAGGTTGTTGATAATTAATGTAATATATTTATTGGTTGGTCTTGAAGTGTTACATGGCCATTTTTCACATCAATTATAATTTATCATATTTTTTTATATTTTTCAATCACCTAATACAAATTTGTAAATCTCATCATCTTCACTAATCGCAACATCATTAAAATATCAAATAACGGTGCCCCAAAATCAACTAATACATTTTCGTTACGCAGACCATTCACCTGGTTAGTTGACCAAACAAGTCAAAAAGTTTTATATAAACTAATAAATTTTATAAAATTTTGTTTATAATTAATGTAATATATAATAATAAAATTTTAGGTTGTTGATAATTAATGTAATATATAATAATAAAATTTTAAAAAATTAAACAAGAGAAATAATTAGAAATTCTAAATTTTAGACTCACAAATTAATTCATAATGATGTAACAAAATAGTTGAATTTATGTATTTGAGTGCATTACAAATTCATAATTGACACATATCCTGCTATAATATTATGGGTCAAATTTGAAGAGACATTTTCCATTAAACATGCCCAATTTTAATAAAAATTGTATTAACATAGGAACCGGTGCTGTTATTGTGATGACTTAGTCATGACAGTTACTGTTGTGAGCTCCATGAAATTTTATTTCAAACCTATTTTGATTATTCAGACTGTTCATATTGTAAGATTCGTCAAGTAATTAGTCATATAAAAAATCAAGTTAATTAGATATTTATAGTCCCATAACAAGTTCATATTTTGTAAAAAATTAAATGGCTATCATAATTTTGATAATGGTTTTAAAAATAATTAGAACTTGATCACGGAATTACACATATTCAATTAATTTAATTTTTTAGATGAATGATATATTCGACAAATTAATATGAATGACCCAAACCATTAAAATAGAGACTTCTTACAAAATTCACATGGTTACTGCTAGTCATAATAGCACCCCTCAATCTATTAACATTTGTCTTCAAGAAACTTTAAAATGTTATAAAACCACATCTTTCTTATGTCATAAGCAAAGGTTCTAACCTAATTGGTTAATCTTTTGGCCATCAAGTTTCTTTTGAAGGGGAGATCTTAAATTCTATTCTTATGAGTAGAATGAGATGGTAAGATTTTCTTATAAAGTGTATGGAAATGAGTTTTAACTAACCCAAAATGTTAATCTAACAACTAACTATTAGCTTTTACCGATTAAAAAATAAATAAATAAATAAATAAAAACTGTAACTCATCTTAAAACCACACACGTTAACAAGATCATTTTAAATGAAAGTAAAGTTAAAATATTCTAATTTTAATGGAGAAAAAAAAAACCAAAAGAAATTAGAAGAAATTTCACTGGTTCCTTATAACCACACGTTAATAAAATGAAAATAAAGTTGAAACATTCTAATTTTGGTAGTGCTACATGCACCAATAGGTATACCAACTAGTGTACCAACATATATTATGACATTATTATTGACTCTACCATTATATAAATTATAAATACCTAAAATCTCTAAAATTATGTCATATCATCTATTAATATACTAATTGATATACCAATTAATACATATAATATTATTCTTCCAATTTTAATGAAAGAAAAGAAATTGGAAAAGAATTTGATTGGTCCCTTGAACCACACACGTTAACAAGACCATCTTCCTTAATAAAATCAAAGTAAAGTTGAGACATTTAATCAATGAAGGAAAAGAACTTGGAAAAGAATTTCATTGGACTCTTTTTTGAAAAAAAAAATATACAAATAAATCAGAACGATAGAGGCGACATACATACCTAACCACTAGCAATTAAGAATTTAATTGGTCACTTTTTAATTATCTCCATGGAAAGAGTCGGCACGCAAGCTATGATAAAGAATTTTTTAATTTTTTTAATAATTTTGATTTTTTAATTTTTTTTATGTTAATTTTCTAGTTTTTTAAACAAAAAATCTTACTTTATAAACCTATTTGTAAATTGTGCTTAGATTATGAATTTAAAAAAAAAAATTTAAAATGTCAAAAATATTTCAAATAATAAAGTACACAACACCCAGATACAATTCAACTTGAGAGGTTTAAAAATTATGTACAAGATTGAAGCCTAAATAACTCTTTGAAATGGGATTTGTGGCTAAATGTTTCTATTTTTTTTTAATTTTTATTTTTAACATCATTCAAAATTATTTAATACTTCTCTAACAAGATTGCGAAGTGTTTACTCACTTTTGTGTTCAAAATTTAGGAGTTAATTAATAAATGAAATGAAACATTACTTTAAAAGGATTGGATGTCTTTCATATTTATATATTAACATGACAAAAATTAAAAAGCCCATGAAATTCATTACAAGTTTTGTTTCAATAATTCAAACTATTCATTTTGTAGGACTCTTAACGTATATCATACATAAAAAAAAATTATTTTGATTCAATAATAATAACATTTTAATTTTATTATTTTTGTTTCTAAAAAATGAATAGTCTATTTTAAAAAATATATTTATCATTTATTTTTTCAAAGATAAATATAAGAAAATAAAAAGGTTACGATTATTAAATTGGACTAATTTTTTGCTTGGATGAAATAAATTGAAAATCTTACAAAATAAATGGTTCAAATATCAAAACTAGGAATGAGTATGGTTCGTAATGTTTCAATTTAGGACTAAACCAAGACAAAACCATTACATATGATTTCATGAATTTTGAAACTAAAGCAAACTATGAAAATTTTGGAACCAAATCAGACCGAATATATTTGAATTAAATATTTTTGATATTTAATATATTCAATAGTTTAAGGACAAAATAAATTTTAGTTTATATATATACATTTTTTAATTAAAAATATTACATAATTTCATACTTTTTAAGTCATAACTAAAATAAAAACATAATAATAATTATAACCAAATAACACATGAATTATAACGAAAAATCTCATTAATTATAATTAAAATAAGATATTGACTAAAAAAAATAGTATAACTTAACATACATACCGTAACCGGTGTGCATAATAGAATTTCCTAAAGTCAAACAAACCCCCTATTATCAAGTTCATTGTTTGGCTTTTGATACAGTGCTTCTATTTGATTTCTTCTGGTCTCTTCCTTCCTGAAAAGCTTTTCTCTTCACCGCCGCCGAGTTATCTGTAAGAGACGCTGCAAAATCTCAAAAAAGGTTTTTCTTTCCTCATTTCCTCCTTCAATCATACACTATTACTCTCTCTTTTTATCATTGGTTCTTATCCCCCCCAAAAAAAAAGAAAAAAACACTCTACTTTCTGCCTTCAATTTTACTGTGTTCAAGTGTTGCATACCAAAAAAAAACCTTTTATCCCTTTTTGATTTTAGAGAGTTTTCTTATCTTCTTTACTACAAGTCTATCAGAACTCTTGTTGAACAATTATCAGAATAATATTCTGTTGTGTGTTCTGTTTTCATTTTACAAAGCTCCCTTTCTCGGTTTCTGTTTCAGTTATAGTACAAAAGCTCCCCTTTCTTGTCCAGTTATATTACAATATAATTCTCTATATTCAACCCTTCTTCTCAAAAGAAAAAAAAAAAAATTGTATTCCCTTTTGATTTTGCCCAGTGTCATATAAGTGTTCTTTTCCAGTCTTCACATCCTCTGCAAAATAGCGTTACTCTCTTCGTTTTATTTTGATTTGCAAAGCTCTGTTTCCTCATTTCCATTTCGATTGTTGTAGAAAATCCCTTTGCTGTGTTCTAGTCTTTTACATATTAAGTTTCACTATCCTCAGAAGAAAAACTTGAGAGAAATGGTCCTGAACTTTGTTCTTCCTGTAGTAAGGAAGATTGGAGAATATCTGGTTGCCCCAGTTGGCCGCCAGTTTGGTTATTTGATTTTCTACGACAGACACATTGAGAATCTGAAGGAGCAGGTCCAAAATCTGGAAGATAAAAGATTTGGAGTACAAAAATCAGTTGAAGAAGCAGAGGCAAAGAGAGAAACTATTGCACCAAATGTTGAGCGGTGGTTGACATCGGTCAATAAACTCATCGAAGAGGCTAGGAAATTTCTCGAGGATGAAGAGAACGCAAACATAGGGTGTCTGAATGGGTGGTGTCCAAATTTGAAGTCACGCTATTCCTTGAGCAGAAAAGCTACAGAGAAAACTGAAAGTGTGGAAAAACTACTTGGAAAAGGAGTTTTCTCTAGAGTGTCCTATCCTACAGTTGTACCTTCTGTGGGGACAACATTTGCATTCACTGGAGGTTTTAAGGGGTTTGAATCTAGAAGATCGATTATGAATGGAGTTATGGAGGCACTGGCAGATGATAGTATCTATGTGATTGGGATATGTGGGATTGGAGGTGTTGGTAAGACAACTATGGTGAATGAAGTTGCCAAGAAAGTGGAAGAAAAAAAAAATGTTCGATGTTATTGTGATGGTAGTAGTGTCCCAAAACCCAAACTTGATTACTATTCAAGGCCAGATAGCCAAAATATTGGATTTACAAGATTTTGGGGGAAACAATTTACCAACTGGAGCGGGGAAGATACGATCAAAAATATTGAGCTTTGGAAGAGTCCTTGTAATATTGGATGATGTATGGAAGAGACTAGAATTGAATGACATTGGAATTCCATTTGGAGATAATCACAAGGGTTGCAAAATTGTGATGACTTCAAGAAGTGAAGATGTATGCAACGGCATGAACACACAAAAGAATTTTATGGTTCGTGTCTTACCTGAAGAAGAAGCATGGAATCTTTTCAAGGAGAAGGAAGCAATTCCCTACAACGATACAAGTCATACGATTGATTTCAAGTCGACACAGATGTCAGTTGCGAAGGAATGTGGAGGTCTGCCCATTGCTATTGTTACAGTTGGGAGGGCACTCAAAGGTAAAGGCAGGCCTTCATGGGATTCTGCTCTTGAACAATTACGAAAGTCATTGGTCAAAAACATTAGTGGAGTGGATGAAAAGGTGTTTAAATCTCTAGAGTTGAGTTATGATTCCCTTGATAGTGATGAAGCCAAGAAATGCTTTCTGCTCTGTTCTTTATATCCGGAAGATTTTGATATTCCAATTGAAGATCTTGTTAGATATGCGATTGGGATAGAGTTGTTTGAGCGCATTGATAGTGTGCACCAAGCAAGAAACAGAGTACATTCCTTAGTTGATGACTTAAAAAAATGTTATCTATTGATGGAAAGTAAAAATGAAGAGTATCCATTGATGGGAAATAAAAATGTAGAGTGTATCAAAATGCATGATGTCGTACGTGATGTGGCTATATCAATTGCATCTAGGGAGGAGCATTCGATTGTCGTGAGATGTGATGAAGTATTGAAAGAATGGCCCAAGAAAGACCGACTCGAAAAAAAGGCTATAATATCATTAAAAGTTGATGGTATCCATGAGCTTCCTGGTAATTTAGAATTTCCAAATCTCCATCTTCTAAAGCTAGATTGCAATACTGGATTACTACCAATCTCATTAGGTGATCTCAACAAAGGAATGGAGGAAGTCAAAGTACAAGAGACCCAATATAGATTTTACCAAGGAATGAAAGAACTTAAAGTGCTAGCTTTATCCGATATGTACGGCTCATTGAGGACATCACTTCGATGCTTGACCAACCTCCGAACCTTGTCACTTTTTCGTTGCCAACTTATTGATGATGGTATCTCTGTTATTGGAGCATTAGAGAACCTGGAAATTTTGAGGTTTGGCAACTCTTATATCAAGGAATTGCCAAAAGAAATAATAGGTCACCTTGCTCACTTGAAGGTACTTGATTTGTTGGGATGTGTAGTGGAAAAGATTTACCCAGGGGTTTTGTCAAGCTTATCAAAGCTAGAAGAGTTGTATGTTGGGTCTATCTTTCAAAGTTGGTGTGAAGTAGAAGAAAGCAAAGAAGGTGCTAAAGCAATTATCGATGAGCTGGCGTCCTTGTCCAATTTGGTGGCTTTGGATATTGCTCTAATCAACATTTCCTTCTGGCCGAGAGGATTGGACATTGAGAAGTTAAAAAATTTCAATATAGCTGTTGGCACTTTCTTTGGCTACATCCCTGCTGCTTGTTATTCGTTGTCAAATCAGTTGGAGCTCCAAAGCGTGAGTGACATTAGTGAAACAGGGTTTAATTTGCTGTTGAAGAGCACTGGAATTCTGAATTTAAACTCAAGTGTAGAAGATTTGAAAATTCTCTGTGATTTGGTCGGCAAAGATGGTTTTGAATGCTTAACGAATTTGTCACTAGTTGATTTGTATGATTTGGAATACCTCATCAATACAGCAGATGGGGTTCCACAGAGTGCTTTCCCTGTGTTAGAGTTTCTGGAACTTCGTCATCTAGAGAATTTCAAAGGGATTACTAGTCATGAATGCCGACTACCGAACAAGGCTTTCAGTGCATTGAAAGTGTTGAGATTAGAGTGGTTGCCTGAACTGGCAAATTTGTGGAACGGTCCCACCCAACCTGTATGGCTCGGCAACCTGACGTCTGTAGTAGTGGGTTGTTGTAGTCTGGAAAGTATGTTCTCACTTTCCATAGCTACAGATCTAGTGCAACTGCAGGACCTTTCCATAGTTTTCTGTGAGATGATGGAAGAAATTGTTTCGAGTGAAGGAGGAGAGCATGAAATAGCAGCAATAACAACAGATAAAATCGAGTTTCCTAAACTAAAGAAATTGCATCTCAGAGACCTGCCAAGTTTTACTGGTATCTGCAAAGCTATGAATGCAATTGAGCTGCCACAACTGAGTTCCTTGTCACTGTTGGATATGCCAAAGCTGAAGCGTCTCTGTCCTGCTTCAGATTCAGAGAGTAATTGTGATCCCATCATTCAACCCCTCTTCAACGACAAGGTATGCTTTTCTTATTTAAGAGTTTAATTAATTGCTAATTTGTGAACCACTTTTCATTTTATTTACTATTACATCTCTATTTGTGTTTTAAATTTTTTCATAATTGGGTAATAAGATCGTCTGCGTCACTTTTATGCCATATTCAATATAAATTGTGTGTTTACATACATATTTGTATTTATATATCTTTATTCATACCAAATAAAAATAAATAAAATTTACCAACAAAATTACTATGCATAAAATTCATACAAAATGATGTAATAATTGTATTTTTACAATCTTGAACCACAATGGTGGGCTTTGCATTGAAGTGAGAGGATCATATAAGGCCATGTTGTTCTGTATGGAAAATTCTATTTTAAAAACCAAAAATTTAACTTTATTTTTTGGTATGAATGATTTTTTAGGAGGGTCATACAAAATGAATGGTGAATGATTTTTTTAGGAGGATCATACAAAATGAATGGTGAATGATCCCTACAATAAATGAACAGGGCGCTTTGCATCACTATTACAACAAATGAATGGTTTGGATCACTATAACAATTTTTAGAGAAAAAAATTTAGAAACAAAATATTTTAGTTGTCAAAAAATTCATTGTTGTATTTATAGTGATAAAACTAGACATTTAATAACAAATTGCTACCTTTTTAGAACAATTTTTTTGTCAAAAAATAAACCTTTTTAACACCAAATTATTTTATTACTAAAAATACATTAACCAGCGATATTTCAAAATTCAAAAATGCTTTAGACCACTAATTAGTGGTGGCTCTAATGATGTGGCAGTGGGTCCCACATGTGTTTTGTGCCTTGTTTTTTTTTTTTCTTTTTTTTTTTAATTGACACCTCACTAGTGGTGGTATTAGTGATGATAAATTAGTAGTCTATAACATTGCTCTTCAAAATTTTATCACTAGCCGTCATTTATTTACTTTCTCGGACCATCTTTTCCTACCGATTGAATTTGCAACCCAATACTTTATGTAATAATATATTTTCACTTTTGAGGATAAAAATATTTGGTTGAAATTTGAATCTTAATATTTTTTGTAATAATGTTTTCACTTTTGACGGCAAAAATGTTTGTCCTTAAAATATTTATGTGTATTATTATTCAGGTCAAAAATTACATTCACTTTGTATATTTAGTAATGTGATATTCTATTAAAAATATCTAAATTAACTTTTTCTTAATTATTCTCTTATTATCAACTAATTATCTTATTAATAAATTGTTAAATTTAGAATGTAGACTTGCATATTATTTTTTTAACATTTGTGATAGAGACCCCGCACATACATAACCCTTACAATTCTCAATTTCATCACAACTACTCTTAATGTGGGACTCACACATACATGAGTGGACCACACACACATCAAGGATCAAGATCAAATTGAGGGTTATAGAACCGGAGTTCCAAACATTTCTATTTTTTTAATATTTATATATTGTAATAAATCATTGAGGTGTAGCCCACCGCATAGAGCAAAAAGTTGAGAAAATTCACCATTCCTTTTTTTTGTCAACCCACCAAGCTCAACAACTCCATAATAAGGAGGAAGAAATAAATCATAAAAGGTATTAAATTTCTCCCTCTAAGAATTGAGTTCGAAATTTTACATGAAAAGTGTTAGATAATTACTAAGTCAAATTTTCTGCTGATCAATTTAAAAAGAATAATTTTATATGCACCAATCAGTATATTAATTAGTATATTAATTGATAATGTGACATAATTTAAAAGATTTTTAGTATTTGTAATGTAATTAATGAGTAGAGATATATCATAACGGGTGTTGGCATATTAGTTAGTACACTAATTAGTGTATGTAGCACTACCTATTTAAAAATGATATATTTGAGTAGTTTCAATTTAATAATAATGTCTTGAAAAAGATAAAAAGTCAAAAAGTTCCATTAACAAACGCTCCAATTCCAAAAGTTTCAACACCGAGAAAAGAGAAGAAATACATCATAAAGAGTTTTACAAGTATAATATATGCATCTACATGTATACATATAGTGAAGAAATACATCATAAAATGTAGAACAATTAGAGAAAATTCGATCCAAGAATTTCCCTTCAGAGAAATTCTGGAAAGATCAGAGAAATTCTTTGGAAATCCATAGAAAATTTACATAATTTCCACATCCAGAGAAAATTATGATTTGCTCACAATAGTCTTTGTATTTTTGACCAAGAAATGTGGAACACACCTTAGCAAACAAGCTTCATCATCCTCTTTACAGTCTCTTTCTCCACATCAACAATGGTAAGACCTCTATCCTCCTCATCATCATCTCTATGTATATGTATATCATCATCATCTCTATGTATATGTATAAAGCTTTCTTCTTCATTCTTGTTCAGATCATTCTAGAGAAGAATCGTAGAGAGATCTCCCAATACCTTGAAGAGAGTGGCCAGTCCTACTCCAGTCGGTGGTCGTTTCGGTGGCAGTCCACCTGGTGATCGTTCGATATCCTAGACGAGAGTTTGATTATGAAGGTCGTTGAAGAGAATGAGAGTCCGATCATGAAGGTTGGTGAAGATCATGAAGGTCGGTCACTGCAGTGGAGGTGGAGGCAGAGGCGGCGGCCATTGAAGGGAGTGAAGTAAGGTTTGGATTTAGAGAGAAGGAGAGAGAGAGAGAGAGAGAGAGAGAGAGTAGAGAGAGAAATGAAGTTTGATTTGGGAGAGTCAAATTTCTCTGTCATATATGGGTGTGGGGTTGAGGGACCTTAAATATCATAAAATAATATTGTGAATCTCTTTCATTACTAAAAATTGGAGAGGGACCTTAAACTAATTTTCCCTTAAACTATTAGGGCGTTAAGTTAAATATGTATGAATATTTAATAAAATATATGCAAAACCTGAAGGAAGGTAAGTGAATTTTCTTTATTTAAATAGCCTATTAGTTCAAAGGGTAAATTACATTTTATCCCTTTTATATTTAGTTTTTTATTTTTATTTTGGTTATTAAATTTTAATTTTAACTCATTGTGACTTTTCATATTTTAGGTTTTTTCTAATTTACTCTAAAAGTTAACTTATGTCTTGGAAAATGACACATTAACAACTACGTAATTTAAAGATATTTTATTATATATAACTCACACCTCTGGCACAAATTCAAATCTCGATATAATAAGATATATATGTATATATATTTTGTATATTATGTGATAGTTATCTACAATTTAAATTTTTATCCCAAGGGAAAATTTATTTATTTTTAATGATAAAATAAAGGGAAAAATTCATTTTACCCCTTGGTAGTTTGAGGTCAGAACACTTTACCCCATATGATTCAAATGTAGCCAGAAAGCTTTCACGTGATTTTAAATCAAAATGAATCCTAACACCGTTAACTATAGATACCTTATACAATTTTTATTATTTTCTTTCTCTCTCCTATGTCTCATACACATAATTTATAATGTCTAACACTAATTCAATTAAATCACAATTATTGATAAATTCTTTGTTATTTATTGTAATTCTTAACTTTTTAATCTAATTTTAATTTAATTATATTTTAGATTACAATTAATCCTAAATCCTAAATTATTTATTGTAGTTCCCAACATGTTAATGTAATTCTAATGTAATTATATTTTGAAAAATTAATATTCTTACATAAATTCATACAAAAAACTTAACAAGAATGATATGACAACGTCATTATTGTAAATAAATTTATCTTCAATAGTGTTTTGTCTTGAAGTAAAAGGTTCATAATGAATCATATCATTATGCAATAAAATTATAGGCAATGCACCAATAAATTCCAAATCATCAACTTTGGAACCATTTAGTCATACCTTTTGTTTTATGCACGGATAAGTCTCATTTCTATTTTAGGAAACTGAAAAATAAGAATTTAATTCAACTAATCTAATTTCACAATCTAAACTGAAAGGTCATAGTAAATTATGAATGCTTATTAGTTCTATATTTAAAAAGGGTCTGCCTTCCCTCTCATCCGTGATCGGACTGGAAGGTCTTGTTGGGCTCGTAGAGATCCACTACGAGTCTCGTTTTAATAATTCGAACCGTTTAATATGTAGAACTCGTCGAGTACTATATATCTATAAAAAATCACGTTGATCGAATATCGATAACTATCTCATCCGATCAGATTTTTGTCAACCGTTTATTTTTTCACCGTCCATTTTTGTATACACAAAACTGATTTGATCACGTAGTTATCGATATCCGATCAACGTGTTTTTTTACAGATATGTAGTACTCTACAAGTTCTACACATTGAATGATTTAGATTATCAAAACGGGACCCATGGTAGACCTCCACGGGCCGAATAACACCCTCCAATTCGATCACAAACTGGAAAGAAGCCAGACCCATTTAAAAATACAATAAAAGTAATATTTAATTAATACTCTTCCGTAATTGTTTAAATTTTATTTTGTATTATAAGTTTAATATTTTTTTTTCTTTTGTTGTAATCTAGATTTGTTAAATCATAAAACAGTAAGACTATATTTTTAATTTTTTTTGTTATTGTAATGACTCTTCATATCTTGAAATATATAAATAAATTTTAGTGGTGTTAGTTATAACTCATTAGTGTGATATTTGTTATGACTTGGTTATATACATTGTCATATTGATTATGACAGTGTTTTGGCTATGACTCAAAATGTGTTTAGTTATGAATTTATTTATTTATTTATTTTTTATTTTTTAGTTATGACTGGGAAATAATAAGTTATGACATTTGTGGTAATCAACCCCACAAATGTCATACCCACAAATGTCATACCTTGCAAATAGTTTACACTTTTGAGAGTGTACACAATAGTATGACGTGCACCTTCTGAAACGACATATGATATGCAACTATTGTGTGACCCATATTGTGTCGCATCATAAAAAGTGACTTGTTAAACCAGTCACCCAACAGGTTACATGAAAGAATCATAATTTTTTCCAAATATCATAACAATTACAATTATTATAG